GGACTGGGGGAGAGATAAGTGGTAAGTCTCTTGCCCCCCCCCATAAGGGTGGAGGGACTTAACATCTTCGTGGGGGAATAACACTGATACCAGCGGTGTCTACGCAGGCCCCTCCCAATGGCCAGGAAATTCGTGCTGGCTTCGCCGCCTTGCTGTACCGAGGCAACTCTCAATTGGTTTTCTTCCCCCTGCTCCAAGCCATTGGAGAAATCCAGTCTATCTGGGTTCAAATCCTGGCCAGGCCACTCCGTAACTGTAATCTTGAGCGAGTCACGTAAGATCTCTGCGGCTCAGTTTTCCCATGTGTTGCATCGGGAATAATGGTCACACCTACCTCCTGGCCCTCCTGGTGAGTATTCCATGAGTCAGTGCACGCACAGAGCTTGGAACAGTGCCTGGCTTTTGTGAGACCGCAGATGTTTGCCGTTATTATTATTGAGAATGAATGTATGGCCCACAACGAAGGTGGCTAGGTTCATTGAATGCATATTGAGAGCCTAATATGTGCCAGAGATCCAGCTGTGAACAAAACGGACACAGCCCTGACCTCAGGGAATTTACCCAGTTGGTTTGTGCTTTCTGCGAGAGCTTTGGGGAGTCTGGCAACCTCCCGGGGCCTCAATTTTTCCTTCTCCCTATGAGATTTCCTTGGTCGTGTATGTACTGACAGGCATGGGGGTCTGGGCCAGAGAACTTACTAAGACTCAGCTGTCCCATTGTGGCACCAGTTCTCTCCTGGAAGCCCTCGTGGCTAGAAGTAATCGAGCAACCTTGAAAGACCCCCTTTACCCTGAAATGCTGAGGACATCTAGTACTTGATTATTTCATGACCAAAATGGCAAGTATGGGAGTACACACACCCAGCGCCTATAAAGGTCTCAAGGTCAAGATAATAACAGTGTGGCCACAAGGTGGCATCATGACCCTGGCCCAATCTTAAAATAAATTGTTTAATTCTAGCAAAGTACAGACCATAATATAACAAACATCTGGGGATCTATCACCTAGAATGAATGTTTTCTTTTAATTTTTTTGGCAGGGTTGGGGTCTTACTTTGTCACCCACGCTGGCGTACACTGGCATAATCAAGGCTCACGGCAGCCTTAACTTCCTGGGCTCAGATGATCCTTCAGCCTCAGTCTCTGGAACTGCAGATGCACACCACCACGCCCAGCTAGTTTTTTTTTTTAGGGCTGGGGTCTCGCTATGTTGTCTAGGCTGATCTCCAACTTCTGGGCTCAAGTGATTCTCTCACCTTGGCCTCCCAAAGTACTGGGATTACAGGTGTAAGCCACCACCCGGTCCAGTTTTTTTCTTTTCTTTTCTTTCTTTCTTTCTCTCTTCCTTCCTTCCTTTCTTTTTAAATAAAAGATGTAAAATGTTACGGAAAAAATAAAGCAGAGAGACTAATATTCTATTCCACTACATACTAATTTTTACAAAGCATACGCTTATCAGACAAAATGGCTTAAATACTCATCCCACTCATAGCTCCACTGCCCCTGTTCCACAGCAGCAGAGAATTTCAGAGGCTTTGCAAACTCACAGAATGGGATGATGGACCCAGGACACTGGGTTGCTGTTGGATTTACCGCAGCAGAACTGAATGTGTTACCATTGTGTGGATGGGAACACTGAGGCCAACAGCCAGCATTGACATAATACTGCAACTACAGATTACACCAGTGTCATTGCATCCCTTCAGCAACTCTGCGAGGTGGGTGCTGCACCGTTCTAACTTTTGCAGGGGAGAAAACGGCAACCCCAGGAGATGCAGCCCCCAGCCCTAAGTCCTGGTGAGCGATGGAGCTGGGATCCCAAGCCCCAACTTTCGTACTTAGCCCAGCCTTGGTGCACTATTGTTCCTTGGGGCACGGCAGTAATTGTCACAGTGGTGCAGTGTAGTGTCACGGAGGGAGGACAGGCCACCACCACCTGCTGAGTAGACCCTTCTGTGGGCAAGACTGGGGGGCTGAGCGACTTAGGAGTGGGCAGTGGTGCAACAGGGGCTGAGGTCTCTGCCAGGCGGGGTTTGACCATCTGTAATGGGCTCCAGTGCCAGGGGCATTGAGCCAACCTGAATTTTGGCTCCCGCTTGACCACTTGCTGCTTGTGATCTCGGGTGAGGCCCTTGGCTTCTCAGTTTAACATCCACCTCTCAGCGTTATTGTAGGGGTCAGATTAAATAATTGTAGGAGTCGGAATATTGTGGGAGTAGGAATAATGTAACAAAGCCCCAGGGAACATAGCAGGAGACTTAAATATGGGGAGTATTATTTTTCTGTTTCTGTGAAGGGAAAAAGACCCCCCTCCCAACCTCTTTATACGATATTTTCTTTTTTTCTATGGTTGTTATCACTTATGGTTCCTGTATACTATAGGTTGTCTATTCTTGATTATTGTCTATCTACTTCCACTAGCAGGGGTCCTCAAACTTTTAAAACAGGGGGCCAGTTCACTGTCCCTCAGACCGTTG